TAAATTTATCTCTATTATATTTCATCTCATTTTTATTCTATCTATTCTATATTTCTTTCAAAGAAAGAATAAAAGTATGAAGATACTTTCAAAGTGTTTTTTTAAGATCATTTAGCTTATTAAACCATCCATCTCAGGTTTGTGGTATTGGCAAATTTAATAAGCATTTTTCTATTTGTGTCTTTATCCAAGGCATTATTAGAAATGTTGAGAAGAACATGAGGAAACGGAAGACCCTGCTTCAGGCTTCCATTTATGTTTCTCTTCCTTGACTTACAGAGCTCTTGAGAACTGTTGCTGAAAATCAGATCCGTAAAGTCTATGACATCACTCAGCTAGGAAATGATAAAAAAATGGACATAACTGGGTCTGGTGAAATTTCTACTTTGTGAAGTTTTGCTTGTTGCTAGCGAGCCTGACTTCCTCCCTGCAGGACTCAGAAATGTAGCGACCCATTCTAAAATTCTGATGTTGGTTGGCAGTGATCATGTCTTTATTTCTAGAACATATTTCCTTCATTCCCTTTAGAGAGATCACACTTGTCCTTGATTGCGTCCCCTTTCCTTCATCCTTCTTATGTGTCCTTTTTCAAGTAGTGCTTATCAAAGAGCTCACTGGGAAGTCATTTTATTTATTTAGACCCATCTCCTTTTCCTTCTTTTATGGCACCAGTTTCTTTCTGATGAGCAACAACTTAGGGGCTTCCATCTCCAGGGGATGTTGAAATTGCGCTGGTGTACAGGGGATACCTGTTTGAAGTTCAGTCTGCCTTTATAGTTGCATATTTGTATCGCTGGTGCATGCATAACACTTGTTTTTCACTGAAGTATATGTCATTTTCAAAGGGACATTTAAAAATGCTTTTCACCAGTTCTGCTCCACTACATGACCAAATATTTAAGGAATATGGGCTTGAGAAGGGGACCACTGACTAGCCTCCCCAGAGACCCATGTGTCTTATTTGGTCCTTACTGCGACTCGTTTGATTGTATTAACAGCAGTTATCTTCAGGGTGTCAGATGTCTTCCCTGCTTCATCGTCATTCTGAAGGATGGGGGTGCCATCAGGAAGCAATGCCTCGCTCTCCGTGTCACACATCTCGTTTCAAAGCCCACCTCTGCCAATGACCACCTGGCAGACAGTAAGCCAGTGCTTCTCACTAGGTGGTGACTTAGCCTTCCTGGGTGACATCTGGCACTGCCTGGAGACATTTTTGGCTGCCGTAACTGCACAGTGCTTATATTTTGTTGGCTAAGGCCAGGGGTGTTGTTAAATATCCTATAATGTACAGGACAGTCCCAATAACAAAGAATTACCTGACTCAGAATGGAAATAGTGCTGACGTTGGCAGACCCAGCTTCTGACAATGACCTTCCTGAGCCTTGGTTCCCTCCCGTATGCACTGCCAGTAAGCGTGGTCTGGGGTGGTGGGGAGAGGCTTATAGAGACACTGTACTGAAAATGCATAGCGCAGCGACTGGCACAGAGCTAGCATCACAAAATGGGAATTATTTTCCTTAAGTGTGTACCAGGCTTTGGGTTGGAGACAACTTCCTAAGATGTTACTGGCTTAGTATAAAAGAGTAATCCATTAAAAATACTTAACCAATCATATGTCTATTTGAATCTAGATAGATTGAATCTATTTGAATAAAGAAAGGGCAGGGGTGACTCAAATTCACAATCATGCCTGGGTGGGTATTGGCCCTCTAATTTGCAAATACCACTTTCTCTATGCTAGGTGCTGGTCGGGCTGCAGCAAACAGGGCTGCAGCAAACAGATTAGTTTAAAAAAAAAAAAGGCAACACACGCCCCCTTCTGGGAACTAACTACCTACAAGTAGACACGTGTCCCCATTTTATAGCTCGAAGAACCCAGGCCCTGGGAGGCCCAAGCAGGGGGCTGGAGGGCTCAGAGCTCACAGAGGCTGGGCCTGGGTTCACATACAGCCACATGCCTGTGTCCCCCAAACCCAGGTGTCGAATTCCTAACCCCCAGCGTTGTGGCGTTAGAGGCAGGGCCTTTGGGAGGCAGTTAGGTGATGAGGGTAGAGCCCTCAGGAGTGGGGTGCACGTCCCCATAAGCAGAGATGAGCAAGCTTGCTTCCTGTCTGGTTGCCGTGTGAGGACACAGTGAGGCAAGGGCCGTCTGCACACTGGGAAGGGGGCCCTCACCAGCCCCTGGATATGCTGGTGCCTTGATCGCAGATTTCCCAGCCTTCAGAGCCATGAGAAACAAATGCCTGTTGCTGAAGCCCGCCCGCCCGTGGTATTCTGTTAAGCAGCCTGAGCTGTCTTAGACACCAGCTCTGCCTGATTCCAAAGTCTACATTCTTTCTACTCCATTACTAACAGATTGCAAGACTCTGAGTTAGATTTAGAAAAACCAGACTGTGAGGTATGTGAGAATTGCAGATCTCACCTCCGGGCTGACGGTGTTGGTTGCATTAGCAGCATTACCCACACCCTCTCACTCTGCGGTGTACTTCTAAGATGATAATGCCTTTTGTTTCTTTTTACTTTTTATATAATCCAACAAGTATTTGTTGAGCACTTGCTCCTGTTATAATATGGTGAGACTATGTCTTGGTCTGCAGGGAGTTTGGGGGCTGGCACAGGCGACAGTCAGTCGCTGCTAGAGGTCAGGGCGTTGGGGACCTGCAGCAGCGCGCTGACTCACCCTGCTGTGCACCATGCCCTGACGCCACCTCACGGCAGCACCACTTCCTTGCAGGTGTTTATGTGTTCTTTCGTAACTCACCACCACACGAGCAGCCAGCTCATGTGCTCAGTGACACTTTCCTCTGTGTACAGAAAACTCTGGGTGTGACACGTGTACATCTGAGGTTCATTCATGTTAGGCTTTTCTCTTGGCACAGGTTTACAGCACGACACATTCCGAGTTATGCAGAATGTTGTATTTACGATGTTTTTTGTTCGTGACCCTGAAGGTCCGTGCTACCTTGTGAAATTTTGCCTAAATGGTAACTGAATCACATGGCCTGAAATACTGATGAAGGAGAGAGTGCTACTTACAGAGAGGGAACCTTGCAGCCGCCCAACAGTCCTGTCAAAACTTGACTTGGCGAGTTTCACTGAAGCAATTAAGTCCTTTTCCAGGTATGTGCATGGTGGATGCTACTCCAGGAATATCACAGTGTCGCGAGTTTAGCACTCATAGTATCACGGTGCAGAGTCCGTTCTGATGGAGTTATCATGGCCCTGAAGGAACACTTACAAGTTTCATTCACTCCTGACTGAGTCGCAGGAATGTGCGGTGGGGTCTGAGCACTCGCCCATGCCCCAGGATACACCTCACGAATGCCACCACTCTGCTCCAGTAAGCAGCACTTCCGCTGCCGATCAGCGGCATCTCTGACTCCAGCTGCATCCCTTCTGGACCAGTTGTTTTGGCCTGCGTCAGACTGTGCACTCTGGTCAGAGCGCCCTACCTCCAGAACTCTGCTTAACCACATACTAGCTGAGCAACTTTGGCAAACTGGGTCCCTCAGATGTAGTTTCCTCATCTGTAAAATGAGCATAATAGGCATAGGTTTTGCTTCACTGGATTTTTGTGACATCTAGTTGTCATGTTTACTCATGTAAAATGTCTAACGTGACGCCAGAGTGTGGTGGGTGGTCAGTGAGTGTCAGCCCTGTTTATTCCCCGCTTCACGCACTGGCTGAGCTCCGCCCTCTGCCCTTTTACTGAGGAGACAGTCTTTCCTCTGGGGCCTTACGTACGACTCTCCTTGTCTGCTGTCTTGCCCGGTGTGCACCTGGTTCTCAGTCCGGGAGTCCTTTTTGCTCTTAGCCGCTTCTTGGCATGAGGCATAGGACTTAGCCCTCAACTGGTCAGCCTCTGCTGCCAACATCTTCTCCTGTCTCTGTTTTCATTTCTAAGCCGAACATCACAGGATCACAGTACAGGAGTCGGGAGCACAGAGTGAGGCATCTGACTGTCTGGGTTCAAGTTCGGTTTTACCTCTTGTTAAGCAGGTGGCTTTGGGCAGGTTATTTAATCTCCCCGTATCTCAGTTTTCTCATCTTTAAAATGGGGATAATAACCTCACATTCTCTTGTATGATAATCTTGATTATCTCATGGACTTACCAGAAGGGCTAAATGAGTTTAAGTGTCTCAGTGCTTAAGATAGAGCTTGGCCTACAATAAGTCCTGCACAAATTACTGATTTTTTAAATTATAGTTTGGGCCCCCTGTTCTCCTAATTATCTGCATCCCCATCTTTTTAATTGAGTGCTTTTTCTGATTACTACCATCCACTGGACACAGACTCAGTTCCTCCCTGGCCTGTACCCACCATCTTACTATGTCCATTTTGGCTTCACAATATATGTTCTCATAGTAAAACATTTTTTCATTGGCTTTATACTAATCATTTAGAAATACTTAACCACTTGTATGTCTATTTGAATCTAGACAGCACTTATCTGCAATACAAAAAGGGCAGGGGTGACTCACATTCACAGTCATGCCTGGGGGCGGGGTATTAGCCCTCTAGTTTGCAAACACAGTCAGGTAGCTTTCTTGAGTGAGAGGGAGAGAGCATCCTGTGGATACCCTCAGACAAAGAAAAAGTTACATCTCCTTAGCGGATAGAGGTCTGCAGTAAAACACTGAATGGCTTCACAAAGAAGCAGGGATATCTGTAGTCTATGTCACACACCAAGTAATGTAGTTTGCATTACCATCCTGACTTAGAAGGCCAACCACAAGCCCGATGTGTTTCAAAGGCAAATTAGAAGCTTTAGAATGTATTACATGAGCAGTTTACCCCAAAGATGATCGGATAATGCTTCTCTTCTGCATCACTGAGGAAAACAACACAACTTTTCTTGTACTGAGAGAGTATGTGTGCCTGAACCCGATGAGAGAAATTTACCTGGTCATTTAAAAATCCAAATTTATACTACCTCAGATAATTCTTACACCAAGCATACTCTTACCACACATTTAGACCTAACGCATTAAATTCTTACCTATGACTTTTCCCAGAAAGAGCGACTTGGGCGAATTGAACAGCGTGTCGGATGGACCTGGCAGGCGGTAACTTGCGGAAGGGTAGTGATCCAGCTGCAGGAAGAAAAGAGGAGATGCTTTGAGAAGAACGTGGCTGTCCTGCCGTGGGGTCAACCCTTCCTGGGGGGACGACACTGCCTTCTGAACCCTGGTTTCCAGACCTGATTTCCTCAGGGCTGACTCTGAAATACCAGCCTGAGCAACTGGAAGGCCATCTTTGCTGCGGTAATTTGAAACACTTTATCTAGGTAAGTGAAGACCCTTTGTGAATTGTTCCTCAGTTTATGCACATTTTCTGTGTGTAATTTATGTGCTGGATTAAGATTCTTGCTCATTTTGACCAAGTAGAATCTGCTTGATCCAAACTCTAGTACCGACCTCTGAGACAGAAAACACTACATTCATGGCCATGAATTTTCTTTGGGATCATCTTACTGTCCTGTTTGCTTTACCTTTTGGTACTACCAGCTTACAGAACAATATTGATTTGCAGAATGCACACACAAACACATTCAAATATGAATATGAGGCATATATTAAATATACATGAATATGCAATCAAATGTTGAGAGTTAAATTGGGTAACATAGGGGTCAAGGGCAGGCCACCCCAAGATGTGCTGCTGTGACATGCAGATGATTTCAGAATTGAAAACAATCAAGGCCCAAAAGACTGAGAAAGAAAGTTGGACCTCCTCCTACCCCAACTACATAAAGACAATTTGGAGAGAGGACCTGCTCCAGGCGGAGGGCTGTCACCGCACATAACTACATCGCAATAAACCTAAGGGTGGTAGGCAGGGAGGAATGTGGCAAAAATCTAGTAGAACTGCTCTCTGTGCCCCACTGTTTCTGTGTGGCTCAGCAGACATTTGTTTACTGGACATTTACTCGTTAATGTTTATGTGAATTGCTTCCCTTTCCCTTTGACACCTCAGACCCCTACCCTCTTCTCCTGGCTCACATGTGTATTGCATTGTCCCTACTGTCTTTGGAATCTATGTTTATTATCCTATACATAGGATTCCCCCTGTGCACATAATTAAACTATTTTTTTTCTCCTGTTAATCTGTGTCATGTCAATTTGAGTCTTAAACCAGCTAGAAGAATCTCTAGGAGTAGGGGGAAATTCTTCCTCCCCAACAGTAAATAAATATACATAGTTTTCTTGCTTTTCAAAATGAGGGTGATTTCTCCTTCCTGCCACAGCGCAGGGATGTTAGGGCCCAGAGGGGACAAAGATATCGGAGCAGTGGAGTGAGCAGGCAGCAGGGGGAGGGAAACGGCCCTGGAGCCCGAGCATCTCGGACTTAACTTCCCAGGTGAAAAGTGCAAGCGCTGTGGTTCCCAAGTCCCAGGGCTTCTCCTGTCCTTTGCACCCTTGCCTGGCTTTTCCTGCCTCTGCTCTCCTTTTACAGCTCTGCAGTTTAGTCGGGTTTCCCCATGTGGATAAAATGAGAGTTCCTGTGGCCAGGATTCTCACTTGGCCCTGGTTGACTAGCTCACTGCACACCTGTGGGCAATACATGGCTGCTGACTCTATAAAAAGAGCTCCGCCCAGTGCTCTGGGTGACACGGTGGTACGGCTGCAAGGCTGCAGGAGAACAGAGCAGAGGCTGGAGTGGTGGCAGTGCCAAGGACAGAGGCTCAGAGGACGGCTGTGCAGACAGAGGGGCCCAGAGGCAGAGACTGGCTTGCTGCCTGCAGACTCGCTCTGAGTGAGTGGGATTTTAGTGACTGACCTGCCACCTGGAAATAAAGTTGGGTACAACCCTTTCACCCCAAGAATGTTTTGCTGTCATTTTCTTTGGTCACACTGAATCCATAGTGAACTTGCCCGGGGCTGAAACCCATTGGCAAGACACCTCAGCTGTGAGCTCCTAGAACTTTCTGTGCTTCTTTGTCTCCACCTGTGAGAAACCTCTTTTGTGTTAACCTTTTGCCTTTCTGAGGTGAGTTTAATACCTGCTAAGGTAAGCGTCAGACAAGTTGGATCTCAGACGGGAACAGCACGTGACTACCCAGCACGGGCTTTCCCGTGGGAACCGTGCAAAGAAACCACTCGCTCAAGGCAGCAGCGCTGACTCCCAGGTCCTTATGGGGGTGCGGGGTGGGGCGGGAGCTAAATGCACTCACCCCGTGGAGAACGAACCGCTTTGAGGAGTGATCCGGGAATTATTAATGACTACCTACACCCGAATCTTGAAACGGTTTACTAGAAAAACCTAGAGGTTATTGCATAATCATGGTGAAGAGTGAGAGTCTCATCACATCTTGGGCATCTGGGGGGTCTTGACCCGCAGAACGGGTACTGCGGGGTTTTGTGCGCGCGTGTGTTTGGTGGCCCTGTAACAGAAGTCCAAAGAACTCCAATAAAGCAAATGTTGGCATGTTCGATCATAATTCTGAAAAGTTTTCTATAATTTCAAGTGCATCATTAACAAAACACTCTGGTCAGAGAATCTTAAGTATTCGAATCTCAGAGAGTTGTTTCTCTGGAACAAAGGCTATTCAGTTTCTGCTGCTACACATTCGCTAGCTACTTTGGCGCCATCTGGTGGCACAAATGGGTAACTGCTGCTGTCCCTCCGTGTGTTACCGGTTGTCATGAAGGCTACAAAATGCCAGGGTCATTAATAGGCCACCTTACAATACTTTACCGTTGATGATCTGCTCCTACGTACTTATAGTTAAGCTATCTTGTTAAAAAAAACTTGAAAGTGGATACAGACAATATATGGTCATTACAGAGAAAAAAAATAACAGATTGGCAGAAAAAAAACCTCTTGGTGATAATGTTAATTTTTTCAATTTTTTACATAAATTGGACGGAACTCAACTAAACAAACTGTTTAGCATTTATGTATCATTACTTAACAATGTATTACGCAACCTCATCAATAAATATGTAACTAAATCATTTGTAACGAGTGACTGGTATGCCCCATTTAGATATGTAGTAAACATAATCTTTAAAAACTATCAAATCTATGTTTTAGACTTTACATTTCTTGTGTCTTTGGGCCCAGGACAAGCCAAGCACATAGTAGGTCCTCAGAGAAAATGCATGGACAGTGTAAAGCGCTGGGCACAGAGGTGGAATCAGTCCTCAGATGTGGCCTGATCCCAGCAGGAATTACCCTCTTTCCCTTGAGCTGTTTACGGACCCAGACCAAACAGACTTGGCCATGCGGCAGCCATGCCTTCTTATCTGCACTGAGCTCACAGAAAGGTCAAATCCCTAGTTTGTCTCCACAGGTTGCTGTCTGCTCCTCCCCTTCCTGTATATGTGCGGCTGATGACTTGAACCAACAGCTCAATTTTACATTCATCTATATTAAATTCCATTTCTTTCATTTTGAATCAGGAGTTGTTGAATTTTGATTCTGTCATCAGTGATCCTGCTCGGTTTTGGTTTATCACCAAATGTCATGACTACTCCCAGGTCTTATTCATGAGGTGGGCTCTGCCCGAGCCACAGGCCCAGTGCGGGGTCACTCTGTGACTGTATAGCCTGGTGACAGCCCTCCTGACGTGCAAACCTGAGGCCCTGTGCAGTCCCTGCATGGCTCACGTGCACTGAGGCTTCTGCCTCCCACCGCACATGCACGCCAACCCCTACTGAGAGCCTGCTTCCCTGCTGCACCCTGGGTGGCCTTTTAATTGCCTGGGAGCTCCATCCAGCTCCAGCCTGGCCAAACCAGAGCCTTGCTGCTCTCTGGAGGGCTGGACAGCCATACCTTCTCCAATGAGGTCGCAAAGTCTCCACCCACATTTGTCCTTCGGTGGGTTCTCCTCCTCAGCCCTGGGGTGCCTCTAGGAAACTCTGTAGGGGTTTCCTTACATCTCAGAGATATCTTTATCACAGATAATTCTTCCATCAAACACCCTGTGCTTAATCTACTGTGAGGTTTCTATCTCCCGACTGGACACAGACAGCTACAGCAGTAAAGAGCATGTGTTGAGCACCCGCTGTATGCAAGGCTTGTGCTAAGCTTTCACATATCATATTATTAAGTGGATTCTGGAGAGGTGTTCTCTTCTTTGATACTACAAAGAAAACATCCAAAGTCAGAGAGTGGCAGAATTGGAATGCTAACCCAGCTAACCCTGGCGACAGGGATAGAGGGTAAGCTGCAAGTGACAGCCGCCTCAACTAGCCCAGCCATCTCAGCTGGGGAAGGGAGATGATCAGCTGCATTTTAAATGTTTACATTTGAAAAAGAAAATGTATTTAATCAGATAACGCAAGAAGAGCTCAACCTGAGAATCATAAGGAACACGTCAAGTTCTATCATTTCACTGGTCCTGCTAGGTGTCTGCCTCTATTCAAATGAGCACTTGCGCATTTGCCAGGGTGAAGTGTAACTATTTCAAGGTAATTTCTTTACGGTCCAGGTGAGCTATTTTGCTGCACATTTAGCTGGTGGTCATTTCACTGCAGTTAAGAGGTAATAAGAGATTGTGTAATAGAGACTCATTAAAATTAAAGGCTGTGACTCCATATGCTCCAGGACAACCTTACGGGAGCATCATTTGTCCCACGTTTACCATCAGACTGGGTCAGGCTGGGGCTCACGTCACACTTGCTGAGTTCAGGGCTTTCATGTTCATTCAGGTATTATTTGGCAGTTTCAGTTTATTTGCATCTTTAAGCCACAGTTTGCCTTGGCAGAGATGGAAGGGATTTCATTAGCCCGTTTATGTTTTTGGGGTGAAATGGAGAAGGTAGGGAGGGCACCGACGAGGCAGACCGAGGCAGTGTGGGTTATGGCTCACGTCTGGAAGGCCTGCCCGTCTCCCGAGCTGACGGGACACAAAATACTAGTGTGATGGCATATTTCTGGGGCTCGAGACCAGGGCCTGCGATTTCTTACCTCTGTTCCTACTCTATAATTTTGGGTACTACTTGGAATTAGCTTAGGGATACTAAATTCAGAACATACCACTTGATGGATGTTTTTATTCCAAGTTGAAGCAAAGGACTAAACATGAGTAGAGGCCAATGCAAATGAACACCAGGGGTCAGAACAAGGACCAGCTGTCTCGCCCGTTCTCCACCCTGACCTCCTAGGGGCGGGGAAGGGGAGAGAGTGCCCAGGGCAGAGACTGGTTCCCTCTCTCCGTCTGAATCTCCATCCCATCTGGGGTCTGCGGGTAGGCGCTCCTGCAGGCCTCAGGCC